TATTCCCCATTATCTTCAATATAACGAATATTTCTTATTCCAAATAATAAATTCTCAACCTCTCCATGCTATGAATTATATATATTAGGATATTCATATATTCAATAAAAATCTAGAATATTTCTATAATCTATAGATGCCTAGCTTCTCATATAAATATATTAAATATATATCTCCCAAGCCTAATCTTTATCATTATTTATAATGAAAAATCTAAGCGAATATAAAAGGAGAAAAATTCTAATATGGAGATTCTGAAATAAAGATTTATTATAATTATAAATATAATAAATAGTTAGAGATATGTAAAGTCATGAATCAAATTAGAAAATTTTCTCGTATAGATATTTCTAGAAATAAAAATATATATATAGTTATATCAAGATATAAAATAAATTTTTCATTCGATTTAATTTAATCAAGTATATGATTTCGCCAGATTCAATCAATGCTTATTAGACTCCAAATGGAAATGCGTTGTTTTGGGATTCTTGACGTAGTATCAAACGAACGGTTTTATAATTGAATGATTGAGCCAACACGTTCGATCAAGATTTCAGCGGCAAGAACACGTTGCCGAGCACGGAAAGCAACGTACGTACGCTGTCTTTGCAAAAAAAAAACTTTCCAGGAGATTCGTTGGATGGAACTGTTGAAAGACTTGCCGTCACTGAATAAGTTGGCATGTTCGCGCCATGCAAGTCTCAGCTTCGGCGTCAGCATGACAAGTGGGTTTGAGGAGCCTGTCTTCAGCTGATGATGCAGTATCGCGTCTTGCGAAGCACCTTCAGACGATCCTGAACCAACTCAGAAAGAGAGCCGTCGATCCCCTTCTCGGAGCAGATCTGCTCTGCCAGCTCCAGAACCCTCTTTGCCTCGGCATCCTCGCAAGGCAGAATGCTTTCAAGGTCCACATCCGGCTCTCCGTTCCCCAGTCCTCTCGAGCATCCAGCAGCGCACTGCCCAAATCCAGCAGGACCAGAACCCCGCTCTTGCTGTGGAGCTGTTCTGCGTCCTCTGAAAGGGAACTTCTCAGAGTATTCATCGAGTCACTCTGAAGTCATCAGAAAGTGCGCCTCCAAGAGCTTTCTTGCTTCCCGCAGAAGCTCCAGTTCACGCCGCGCATCACCCAGCTTGCAGAAACATCGTGCTACTCGTTGCAGCACTGATGCACCTGGCTCATTTCCTAGAGGGCCTAGAATGTCACAACACACCAATGCACAAGTAACGCACCAGTCCGACTGCTGTGACCTTGAGGAGTTTGCAGCGAGCTGGTCTTTTCCAGAATGGCTTTGCTCTCGTCCTTGTTTCAGGCTTTCGCACCAGACGTGGCTGTGCGGGATGACAATAGCAGAAGAGGGTCAACATGCAACATGCTGGCCCAAGCTGCAAATTCAACAATCGCCGCTTGTATGTCCCCGAGCATGAAGTGGCAGAGTCCCAGTTGCTGCAACACGTGAGCACCATGAGGGGTATTGAGCTGGCCCAGCTGAATACGCAACGTCTTCGCCTGCTGGGCATGCTGAAGTCCTGCACTTGAGCCCAGCTTGCATTCGGCGACTCCCATCATGGCCAAGAGGTCGGAAGCATCCAACGAACCTCGGAATAGCGGCTCTGATGGACGATCTCGTAGCTGCACTCAAGCAAGCTTCACTCACAGGCAATCCGACGGCAGGGACACTAGTCATAGCAACGTCTGAAGCTTCGAGGCGTGGCTGCTAGAACATCGAAACCCCACGAGTACTCAAGTGGCCAAGTGGAACGACATGAACAATTGTTTTGAACTCGAGTTTTCAACAGACTGACAAATAGCTTCCCGAAAACAAGGCAAGGACTCACTATTGTCCGCAGAATGGCAAGACCACCTCAGCTGTTTAGGGATTTATGCATCACTCTGCTGCAGGTTTGCTGGCCATGATTTCACTAGCCTAGCTGAAGCATGGAGAAGTATGCGCCGTGGCGAACAGAATATTGGGTAATGTGGAAGCACACTCCAAGCCGAAATAGGAGTGATGGTTGGCCAATCACAAGCCGGACCGCCTCAAAAGGGTTTTGCATTTATGCATCGATCTCGTTTTGGCACGAAGACTTGCTTCTTATTGCCCGCGCTCGCCACACCCCTTATTGCACACGCGGGGTTTGCAGACGGTCCAGACATCCTTCACCGAAAAGGGGGTAGGGTAATTACATAAGTTCCAAGCAAGACTTTGAGGTATTCTCGGATCTCTCTCATCCTGTCTTCCAACTACTTCAGTCTGCGGACCAGACTCTCTTTGGGACATTACTGACGAGAAAAGCTACACGAAACAGTCTCCAATCAGTTTGAAATCCGGCTTGTCATGGCCGTTAGGCCAGCATCAAAGGTGAGAAATGTTTCATCACACACGTTTGGGGTCCTCAAGATTGCCTTCCTCGTCCCTTTGCTTTCCCTGGCTCCCGGTACCCTGTGAAGCTCCTCTCGCGGTCAGCTTGCGCTGGGTACAGTGGTGAATATGCTTTGAAGGCGCTCAAGCATCACGATCAGCTCGCTCGCCTCTCAGCTGAGATGCGACTGCGGCCGTGACCAAACCCTCACCATTGCATCCCAAAGCCTTACGACACTCCCTGGACCTCCGAAGCGGACGTTTATCAAGCCCGAGCAACTCCCAGGGTCACCTCCAATTATCGGGGAGGTGTCTTTGTCAATATCTCGATGCATCCAGGGAGCGTTCCGAGCCGCAGGCCTGTCTTATCTCCCAGGCTTGCTGGTAGTTGGCAAGGGCTTCTTCCATGCGACCCATCTCCTGCAGATTGGCCGCGACACAGGTGACGACGGCAGCGCCGTCGTGAGACTCCAGTTGGTCCAGCTGTCGCAGTATCCCCTTGGCTTTCTGGAAGGCTTCGGCTGCTTCCTCGTTTTGGCCCAAATAATCGTGATTTTTCCCCACCACTCGCCACAAATTCGCCTTTTCGATGGTCCCTTCTTCGCTAGATGTGAATGCTGTGTCTATGGATGCCGACAGCAGCGTACAAGCATCGTCGAACTTGCCCAGCCGATGCAGTAGATTTGCTGTCCTTGAATTGGGAATTCAACGTACTGGAGGCAAGCTGCTACCCTAAACCCTAAACCCTAAAACTCTGTTTGCATGGCCGGCCCTTTGAAGTCAAATGAAGAAGGGCAAACCTTGGGCGAGGAAGCCGGTTCTCACCGGTACGGCCGGACTTCTATGCCTGCGAAGATGTACTTCAGCACTTCAGCAAATGATTGATTCTGTTTGTCGGTTTCAGACTCAAGGGACCAGAAGCACCCGTACATGTTTTGCCAACAGCACTGGTCTGCATGTGGTGAAGATGTCAGTGTTGACTATCAATGACGTACCTGCGCAATGCAATGACAATGGCTTGAAAGCTGACCTGAGAACTCACACTGCAAAATCATCCGGGCACATTGCTGTATAACATCATTATGGGACAAGGAAAAGTTCTGAAACACTGAATGGCGGCGGTTAGGAATGTGTGACTCCCAACCGTAGTTCCGTGCAAGCGTGTCGGACTCCCGGTGAGCGGGGCATTCTTTAATACATGGGGATACTTTCTGAGTTTTTGAAGAAGCGAGCTTTCCAGACCTCCGACAGACCCGCCGGAATTCTGATTCCTGATGCTATATGGCTGGTCTCCTGCTGACTGTCGACAGTAGACCAGCAAGCTCCATGTAGAGCTATCATTGTTTTGTCGCGTGCGGCTGGAATGTCATAAATGTCAGAGGGGGCCCTGTCCACGATGTTGCGACAACCAAGATCCTCCACCTTTCGAAGAACCCATTTTTGATGCCGGGGAGGTGCACAACACTCCGGTCATTTGTGCGTGTGTGTCTGTACGTGTAAGAAAATGTGTGGCGTGTAGCCGAGTAGGTAGGCCGGCAGGTACGTAGGCCGCATGTTAGTTGGTGGGTTGATAAAAAGGAAGGAAGGAAGGACGGAAGGACGGCAGGACGGAAGGACGGAAGGACGGAAGGACGGAAGGACGGAAGGACGGAAGGACGGAAGGACGGAAGGACGGAAGGACGGAAGGAC